TCTTTCCCTTGACTAATCCCTGAAATTCTTTTCTCCCTTGGCTTCCATAATGCATGATACTCCACCCACTCTACTTTTTTTATTGTCTTTACCCTTTCAGCTTTTCCTTCCTTCTAGTCCTCTCCTTTTATATTCAGTATCTCAATGACCGTATCACCTCTGGCTTCAGTGATCACCTTTGTCCAGAATGAATCATAAATTTAAAACTCCTATTCCTCACCTACATTGTAGTCTATATTCACAATGCATCTCCAGTCCAATGTCTTATTGACAGTCAAGAAGGATCAAATGCAAGAAAGTGAACTCAACATTTTGCTTCTAAATGTATTCCCCCTTCTTACTGTCTATTTCTACCCAAATGACCAGTTTTCATTGAACAAATATTTAACATGAGCCTATAGTGTCCAGGCACTGTTCTAGGCCCTGGGATACTCTGGTGAAGAGGCCCCTAATGGGGCTTATATTCTAGGGGTTTCTAAGCCAGAAATACAGTAGTTTTGTTTTGTTTTGTTTTTAATTAAAAATACTGCTAAAAAATTCTAACCATCATCTGAGTCTTTAGTTAGTCATTATCTTTTTTTCAACAGTAACATCAAAGATCACCAGTCACCATAACAAATATAATCATAATGAAATAGCTTGGAATATTGCAAGAATTGCCAAAATGTGACACAGACATGAAGTGAGCAAGTGGTGTTGGAAAAATGACACTGATAGACATGCTCAACGCAGGCTTGCTGCAAACCTTCAATCTGTAAAAAATGCAATATCCATGAAGCACAATAAAGCAAAACACAATAAATTGAGGTATGCCTGTACTATTGTAGAATTATCTATTTCTCCTTTCAGTTCTGTCAATTTTTGCTTCATATACTTTGCAGTTCTGTTGTTAGATGTGTATACATTTATAAGTCTTACATTTTCTGGTTACTGCCACCTAAAATGTGATCCACACACCAGCCACAGTAGCCTCACCGAGGAGCCTGGTGAAATGCAAATTCTCAAGCACCACCCAGACCTACTGAGTCAGTCTGTGGGGGAGGGGCCCAGCAATCTGTGCTTACCCAGCTCACGCTCCAGGTGATTCTCAGCTTGCTACAATCTGAGAAGCACCGCTCTGGGAGGCAAGTCATCTTGGACTCCTCTCTCTCTATCCTTTCTATCCGTACCTACTAACTAACTCTGAAAACTGTTCCAACTCCATCTTAACCTAGAACCTTCTCACCCCATGCTTGGATTATCGTAAAATCTCTAAACGTTTTCTGGCTCCAATCAATGCTGATGACACTGTCGGATGAAATAATTTTCTAAAGCACTGCTGACACCAATGATCAAAAGTCTACCATGGGGCTTCCCTGGTGGTGCAGTGGTTGAGAGTCCGCCTGCCGATGCAGGGGACACGGGATAATAGCTTCTTTTTGACTCACAGAACTGTAATATATCCTAGGGCTGCCATGCCAAAATACCACAAACTGGGTGACTCAAAATAACAGGAATTTATTCTCTCACAGTTCTGGAGGTTAGAAGTCTGAAATGAAGGTGTTGGCTGGGAGGCTTCCTTCTGCAGGCTCCTAGGGATAACTGTTCCATGCCTCTCTCCTAGCTTCTGGTGACCTCTGGCAATCCTTGTGTTCCTTGCTTTGTAGATAGAGTACTTCGGCCTCTGCCTCCACCTTCACATGGCATTCTCGCTGTGTCTGTCTCTTCACCTGGCCGTCCTCTTATAAGGACACCAGTCATATTGAATTAGGGGCCCATTCTACTCTAGTATGACCTCATCTTACCTAGTTACATCTGCAATGACCCTACTTCCAAATAAGGTCACATTCTGAGGCACTGGGGGCTAAGACCTCAACATATCCTTGTTGGGGGACAAATTCAACCCATAACAATAGCCCCATTCTATGATTCACGAAAGAGCAAACCTATGCTCTCGGATTCTCCCTAAATCCCCATATACTAGGCTTCTTCCCATTCTGTCCCTTTGCCCATGACTCTCCTACTTGTGATGTCCTTCCTACTCTCCTTCATCTACATCAGTATCAAATGCGGCAAGAGGCCAGGCAGTTAATCAGAATGGGTGAAGCAAATAAGGTGATAAATGACAAGTGATACTTTGCTGCAGTGTCCGGGAGGCAATGATTACTGGGGACTGGGGATCTGCAAATTTTGTACTGAGTCTAAAGGAGGGAGCTGCTACTCAGTTCCTCCCAATTGCACCATGCAGACATGTGTGCCCTATTTGGCCACATCTTCTGATTGTCTAAGAGATGCTGAAAATCCAGATTTTTGAGTGAGTGGACGTGAAAGAAATTTTCTGATTTTAAAATGTTGGCCACTAATTCAAGTAAAAACAAACAGCATGAGTCAGGAAAATGTGTCTACAGGGAATTCCCTGGCACTCCAGTGGTTAGTTAGGACTCTGTGCTTTCACTGCAGTGGCGGGGTTCAATCCCTGGTTAGGGAACTAAGATCCCCGGAAGCTGCAGGGAGGGGCCAAAAAAAAAAAAGTGTCTACAGTCTAATCTGGCCCAGGGGCCATACTTTTACAACCTCTGACTTACACAAATTCTTCCCACTGTTTCAGGCTCACCTTAGTTAGTGCCTTCTAACTATTTCAATCCTTTTAATTCATATTCATGTGCATGCATTAGTTGATGCTACACAAGATGGAGTCCCTGCCTAGGGGCTTGGAAGACTTAGATAAACAGACACACACGAACCAGGTAGTAAGTGTTTGTGAAGTAGATGCCAAACAAGCTAAAAAAAGATGAAAAGCTTAAAGAGGGAGGGAGGGAGGTGGCAATCCTGGAAGGCTTCCCAAAGAAAATGACTTTAGAAGCTACCCCTAAAAGTATATGCAGACGTTTACAAAGAAGAGACCAGCCCAAATCCCTCCCTCCTCCGAACTCCCAACAGTACGAACATTTTAGATCAGGTATTACAACATGTCTGAACCATACAGTTCATTCCTGTGGTTCAGTCTAATCTTCCCAAAGGGTCTGTCAGTTACTCCTGGAGCGTTCTAGGCGCCTGACACGGCATAGTGCAAGGAACAGGGTCAATTCATTTCTGGGGGTTGATTCTGGGCCTGGGGGATATGCAGTTTGCAGTACTCACAGGAGGGAACTGGAACAGACTGGAAAAGGGGGACGCGGCGCGGGGGGGTGGGGGTAGGGGTGTGTGGTGTGTGTGGAGATGGGCGGGGTACGCCGAGAACCAGGAGAGGGCCAAGGGCATAGAAGGCCTGACCGCGCGCACCCAGCGCCTAGGTCCCGGAGGCCGCAGCCTCTCCCCGTTCGCAGAAATGAGGGGTCAGCTCCAACCTCCGAAGATCTGCTCTCCACCCCGCTTCCCCAGGGGACCCAGGCGCTGGGGCCCCCAGTTCTGCGATCGCAGCGGGGTCTCACCTCCATGCCACCCCTAGCCTCCCGCTCGACCGTGGCCCCCTGCACGGCCGCCAGCGCTCAGCCCCAGCTCCTCCCTCGGGCGCGGCGCCACCACCCTGGACATCGTGCCCGCAGCGGCCGGCCACTTCCGGCGTGCTCCCCGAGGCGGCCGTCCCCCGCCCCGACGCCGGACCCGGCTGTGCCCGCCAATCCGCGGGCGCGCCCCCAAGCCGCCTCCCACCCGCTCAAGGGTCTTCCCTGCGCAGGTTCGGCGTCGTTCTCTCGGTCTCGCGCGAGCAGAGTTCTGAGGGTCCAGCGCCGCGCAGGTTGGTGCACCTGCAGGCGCCAAGTAACGTATGCGAGGTCACCACCGAGACGCAAGTCCTCCGGGGGTCCTAGACTCGCCCACTGCTGGCTTCTGGCCAGTCGGTATGGGTGGGGGACCCTGTCAGATAACCACGCTTTTGTTCTAATTTTTTTTTCCCCCCCGCATGTTTTTGTGGTCTCATTCATTGATGCCTTCTGTTTGCAGTGCCCTCTCAAAGGCTTGGTAGTACAGAGATAAACAAGGATAGCGAAATGTTTAAAAGGGCAAGTTCTGAAGTGAGAACATCAAGACACTCAGAAAGTCAGACAGAATCGCTGACCCACCATTTATGGGCTGTGTGACTTTGGGCAAATTACCTAACCTCTCTGAGTCCAATTTAATGAGTTATCCTACTTTTCCTCACTGATTTTTGTTTATTTTATCTATTTATTTTTGGCTGCACTGTGTCTTTCTTGCTGGCTGTGGGCTTTCTCTATTTGCTGGGAGCGGGAGCTACTCTTCCTTGCGGTGCACTGGCTTTTCATTGAGGTGCCTTTGGCTTCTCATTGCGGTGGCTTCTCTTGTTGCAGAGCACGGGCTGTAGGCACACAGGCTCAGTAGTTGTGGCTCGCAGGCTCTAGAGCACAGGCTCAGTAGTTGTGGCACAAGGGCTTAGTTGCTCCATGGCATGTGGGATCTTCCCAGGCCAGGGCTCGAACCTGTGTCCCGTAAGTTGGCAGGCGGATTCTCAACCACCGTGCCACCAGGAGGTCCCTCCTCACTGATTTTTAAATGCTGTTTTTATCATTAACTAAATTCACACATGTACTTGGTTATGTATTTGAGGTACTTTCTGTCTGCT